ATATGGTCTACTAAAGCCAGAAATCCAACAATTAAATTGCCTATTCCAAAAGACTGTAATCCTACCATGAAAGGAGGTGCTTCTGCATTTGGGAGTTTTGCCATTTTCCAAATATTGATTTATGTGTTCCGGTAACTGTAATTCTGAAATAAGCAAATTTTTCAAACACTGTTCAGAATGACCACTTGTTTGCTTTCACGCAAGCATGGAAATTTTCAGTACCCAGTATTATAAATTCTCACATCTTCTACAGCATGGCTAATAGTAACTCATTAAAAAAAAAAAAAAAGCTATGTTCCTTATTCTCTTTCATTTAATACCTCTACTTTTTTCTCTTGAAAAACAGAACATTTTCTTCTATATCTAGGTCACTAAAATAATTATGAATACCAGTAACTTTGGATTCACAATTACTTATTCAGTTGGGAATAAAAACAGAGTGCATCTTTTTCTAGCAATGCCAGATATTTGAGAACCAAGAATTATTATTATTAATGAAAAGCTCTTTATTTCCATTCTGCGAAGCTGAAGGTTTAGGTAGACGTACAAATGTATCACTGACCAGCACAAATATATGTTCCTTGTTTTCAAAAGAGCTGAAGAACTGTGAATAAGGGACAGGGGTATACTCGCAAGGACAAATAATTTATAAGTTTAGCCCCTTAGGGTAACTTCTACTATTAATACTTCTTTCAAACATTTATCAGCAAATAGCCCTTTAAGTCAGAGCTGTCAACTGAAATAAAGATCTCAGGTGAGACACCTTCATAAAGCACAAACTTTTTTGTTAACTGAAGTTCAGCTGACTTATAATGTTGTGTTAATTTCTGCTGTTCAGCAAAGTGATTCAGTTTTACATATATATATACACACACACATATATAAGTGAAAGTATTAGTCGCTCAGTTGTGTCTCTTTGGGACTTTATGGACAGTAGTATGCCAGGCTCCTCTGTCCATGGAATTTTCCAGGCCAGATACTGGAATGGGTTGCCATTCCCTTCTCCAGGGGATCTTCCAAACCCAGGGATTGAACCCTGGGTCTCCTGCATTGGCAGATGCATACTTTACCATCTAAGCCATCAGTGAACCCCGATCGAACTTCCAGGACAATCCCAACCCCAGTCTTCAGGTTCAAATGCTTCCCCTCATGTGAAAAGAGATGTTCCAAGTAAGTGATAAAAATTTCAAATTGCTGGGCTTCCCTGGTGACTCAGTGGTAAAGAATCTACCTGCTAATGCAGGACATCCTGATCCCTGGATCCAGGAAGATCCCACATGCTGTGCAGCTATAAAGACCCAGTACAGTAGTAAATAAATATATTTAAAAATTATATTTTCAAATTGCTGTAATTGTTCACTTCTCTCTCTAACTGATAATTTCTGCAGCAAAAACAAACATAAAGGAGGGCACCATCTAGTTAGGACCTGGCAATGTGGGGGGAGGTAGAGGGTGGGAAGGAGAAGCAAGTCAGTCACAACAATGCCCATCAACTCCTGTATAGTTTCTAAAACACTAGCACGTTATCCCTTTTGAGAGGCTGGCAAAAGCACTGATACTAGGAAAGTGTGTCTGAATGTACTACCCACGATCACACACACGAAGGAAATAATGTGGCTGTTGTTAGTAAGTCATAGCCAACTCTTTGTGACCCCATGGACTGTAGCCCACCAGGCTCCTCTGTCCATGGGGATACTCCAGACAAGAATACTGGAGTGGGTTGCCACGCCCTCCTCCAGGGGATCTTCCTGACCCAGGGACTGCGCCCTTGTCTCCGGCTTGGCAGGCAGATTCTTTACCACTGAGCCACCTACCTGGGAAGCCCAAAGGGCATAACAGCTGTACAGAAAAAGAAAATACTTTGTACTGCTGTACAGAAAAAGAAAATACTTTGTACTGCGCCCTGAGAACTCAACATACCTGTCTTAGAAAGGCAGAGAATTCCAAAGCTAGGAGCCCTTAAATCAACATCCCCTCCCCTAAACTTGGGAGCAAACAGCATTGGATTCCTAGCTAATCCCTCCCCTGTGGTGCGTGGTAGAATGAATTCATCACTTGACAGCTAACTAGAGTTTCAACTACATAGATTAAAAGTAACGGATTCAAGACATTTCTGTCACACCTACATTCTTCTAGCACCTGGCTACTGCCCCCAAGTCTGGACAGATGTTAAAAGTTAACACAGACTCTCCACAGCTTATTCTCCAGTACCAGGTCCTCTGTTCCCCCCTTTTATAAGCACCATTCCACTTTTGCAAGGAGGCCCAAGTACTAGGAACTCTGAAAGAAAAAGTATTAAGAGAGTTAGGGTCATCCCCCCATGCCCCCCACCCCCGCCCCCGCCCCCGCCCCTGCCCCTGAGGAGGGCTATAGGGGAGTTCTACATAATTTTTGGAGGTCTTGTGAGATAAACAAGACCAACAAAGAAAAAAAAAGAAAAAAAAAAAAAAAAAAGAAAAAGTATTAAGGCCTAGATTGACTTTTAAAACCAAAGTACAAATGACCCTGAAATTAACATCTTCTTTCCTGACATCCAAAGTGCATTAGACAGTCTCCCTGCCAGGCTCTGTGCCATTCAGACAGTTTAACTGCTTGTCAAAGAACCTCAGGCTGACACAAGCTCAAATGAGCCTGTGAGCACTAAGAGATCGGCCATACTAACTCTGAAACAACACTTGCACTCCACAGAGTTAACTGGGACTTGGCTGTCATCCTATCTCCATAAAAGTGAATCTTTTCCCCATTGGGACATTTCATGTCGGCACTAATCAACACTGCCAACCCCCTGGGCATACAGCCCACCATATTCATCCAGCCTCAAGACTTCTCTCTCCTACATCCCTCTGGTTCTCTCTACCTGCACCAGACCCTGCTTTCCTCCCTTCTCCAAATCTATTAGGATCAAAACAAATGTTCTTCTCCAGGTTAATTTTATACATGGCAAAGCAATAGTTTTTATCCAGAAAACACTACAGGGACTTCCCCAGTGGTCCACTGGTTAAGAATCTGCCAGCCAATGCAGGGGACACAGGTTCGATCCCTGGTCCGGGAAGATTCCACATGCCACGGGGCAACTAAGCCGGTGCACCACAACATTTGAGCCCGAGTGTCATAGAGCCCACGCTCTGCAATAAGAGAGGCCACGGCAGTGAGAAGCCTAGGTACCACAACTAGAGAGTAGCCCCTGCTCGCTGCAACTAGAGAAAGCCCTTGCACAGCTACGAAGAGCCAGTACAGCCAAAAAATAAATATACATGTAAATTATTTAAAATTTTTCAAATTAAAAAATAAAGAAAACACTACACATGTCAGAGGATATAAGCACATACCATATAACAAAGTTGCAGACACCTCTGATTTCAGTGGTTTAACTCACTTCATCAGGAGAGCAACCCCAAGTAGCAACATGGTCAGAGAAAAGGCTCTGAGTCCCTATGAACGACCTCAGTCTGAAAGCGGATGGAGACCAGAGTGGGCAGGAGCAGCTCAGACCAGGTCAGATCCAGCTGCCTTTCTCCCTCCACACACCGGCCGAGGACACAGCCCCTTCCATCCTTGGGTGCAGCTGCCCCCGCTCGCTCTGCTCCTCAGGGAGCTCCTGCTCTCTGCTCTTATTGCCCAGTTCTTGTACGGCTGCAAGCGCTTCAACTTGCCTTCCCTCCCTCACTGCCCTCGATAAAGACATTAGCCGGACCCTCTTATGGTCTATGCGCCTTTACTACCAACCATTACACCAAGAGCACAAGGTGTAGCGCCTGAGGGAACTCACAGAGCATCCACAGGGTTATTGCAAGTGTAAGTGTGGTCCCTGGAGGTGTCCTGTCGCTCCTTCACCAGCCATCAGCTGGCTTAACCAACCACCTGCACCTCTAAATGCAATCTAAGGTGGTGATTCTCAAGCTGCAGAATGCAGGAGTAAAAACAAATTTTTCTTTAAGCAAAAAGAAAGGGAAAAAGAAAAGGCAAAAACAACAACAACAAAAAGGCCAAGAATAACTAACATAGGGTTAATTTTTTTTCTAGTAAAGGAGAATAAAGCAAAAATTCATCAACAGGTTTTTATTATACACCCAAATCCAACCTGGAAACTATAATAAATTTTTCTTTTCAACATTAAAAACAACAACAACAAAAATAACCAAACTATTTTTTTTCTTACTTTATCATCAAGAAGTCAAAGTAACTACATCGAGGACCGGGCACTGGAAATAGTTATTTTACCCAGTCTCATATTCAGTCATGGTGAAGACAGAAAACAACCTCTTTGCCTCAACTATACAGTTTCCAAAATACTCAACCCAGCACATCACCACCTTCCAAAGATGCATGGGACAAATACTAGGCCTTAAAATAAGAAGAAAGTTGAAGTCCTCAGAGACAAGCAATGCTGTGTTAGTAACTGATCAAATATCTGAGGCAAGAAAGATCTCCTCACTCACTAGCTGAACGACTGCTAGTCATGAAAAGAATTATTACTTCAATACCACCAAGAAATGACAAATTAGGTCAAAATGCTGGTTTAAAATTCTCTACTATGTAGTTTCAACTGTTTCAAAAACCCCAAACATATCTGGACTTACTTGGCCTTAATAAAGAACAGCTGGGCAGCAAGACATTCTTTATTAGTTAAAACGAGGCCAAAAAAGTGGCAGAAAATCTGAAACTGTGCACATCCCCCCAGATTAGGTTCCAAAAGCTAAAGCTATTTAAGACTGAAATTTATAAAGCTAAAACTTTCTATTTTCCAGAGTTAACATGTAAATAATGGCTCAAATGCCTTTCTTTTTGAGAAAACCCCTTAGCAAACGCTTAAGGTGCCTAAACTTTCAACGGGAGAACTTAACCCCAATAGAAATGTCGGTCATTTCTTCCCATCACAACTCAGCAGTGTTCTATGAGTCATCTTTTGAAAGCAAGGGAGGGAAAAAAATCTAAGCAACAGATTTACATGGGAAATTATAACGTTATAAACTTTTAATAAACAAAAGCATGTTACTTACGATGTTCCCTGCTGAGAATTACTATGAGTTTTTGAAGATGTATCATATTGTTCTGTGGAGGAGGGAAAAATGATCAGACGAGCATAATGACAAATACAAGACTGTTAGTTATAAATCCCCTCTTTTTTTTCCCCTGCTATTTCCCCACCACCTTTTCACCTAAACACTTAGTACACTTAAATTTTGTCAACAGAGAGCTATTATCAAATAACATTTATGTTACACCTTGAGAGAGGGCTTGCTCAGAACTGGAAAACCCTGAGTACTACCCTGGCAGCCGACCCCACCGCACCGTGATGCCACCCCACCTGGTCTGATGTCACACATCCATCAGCGATTTGCTAGCACTCTCTTTCACAGCCTCTGTCCTTGGCCACCTGTGCTCCCACCTATCCCCCCATCTTTCAACACCCCCGATTCATTCATTCAACTGTTGGTCACAAACTGCCTTTTAGATACCAAGACGCTCAAGACATTTGCCCCCGTCCTCAATGAGCATACAGCTGACTGAGGGACAGCAAACAGGAGCACACATCTACAACCCTAGGCAGTGAGAGATCAGTACACAAACCCATCATCTAAATGAAACGTCCTGGGAATCTAGAGATTCATCACTCCATTGGTCGTGATGAAAGAAGGCAAATCAGAAAGAAAGAAAATTAATTGTGTGTGTTGCAAATGATGGGTGAGATTTTTTAGCAGAAATGACTGCGGGCAAGAGGGAGATAAGGGTGAAGGCGGCTCTCAGGCAGAAGAGACGATGTGAGGGAAGGCAGGAAACGTGGGAGCAACTGAAATGGTGCAGATGAGAAAGGGGAAGGCTGGGGTGCAGAGTGTGTGGAGGGCAGCATGCGGGGCCCTGGGAGGTCAGAGGGCTCCAAGGGCCATGTGGGACATTAATACTCTGAGGCACCACCGGGGCACGATACAACAGTTTCTCAGAAAGAGTAACCTGCTGGTGCTACCTGACGTAACCCAGAAAGGGACAGGAAGTGTTAAGTGTAGAGACTGAAGAGCAGCTGGGAGACCGTGCTGTGTCTGGACCTGATGCAGAAGCCGAATGGTAACAAGGGTGCCTTTCAGAAGCGGGGAGTAGAGCAACCACAAATGACCCAGGAGACCCTTGAATAACTGCAGTTCAGGGCTTCGTCCTCATGGGGGCAGCAGCTCTTACCTGGTATTTTTAGATCATTTCCCCTTCTGGCTAGCAAATTAGGGCTGGGATGACAAATTAAAGGGGCTAAAGTCCACGCACACAGGCTCCACACAGACATCCTGACCAGGTCCTAAGCTCCATGAGGCTCTGGTAATCCTCAAGCAGCTGTGTTTTTTGCACATGTGGACATAAATCCTGGGACATACAGGGATGTATAGATGGGATATACTTCCTTCTCTGTGTGCATGCATGCTAAATCGCTTCAGTCATGTCTCAATCTCTGTGACCCCAGGGACTGCAGCTCACCAGGCTCCTCTGTTCATGGGATTCTCCAGGCAAGAATACTGGAGTGGGTTGCTGTGCCCACGTCCAAGGGATCTTCCTGACCCAGGGATCAAACTCCCGTCTCTTTTGTCTCCTGCCTTGGCAACCGGGTTCTTTACCACTTCATTCTCTACAGATTCCAAAAGTTTTCATGAAATTTGAATTTGCTTGTTGGGCATACTTTGAGAAACAGATGTCACGCTTCACTGTGCTGAAAGCTATTATCTGCACATACTCCACTCCATCTTAAAGCAACACACAACCAGACCCCTCTCGGGTCCGATCAGCGCCTTCCCCCACACCCACCCACATTCTCACAGGGGTAAACCAGCTTTCCAGAACCCATAGACAAAATGGCAGCAGCATAGAAGACCCCAAGGTAACAAGCATTTGCTGAGCCCAGACCTACAGAAGACCTGCCAGCATCTGAAAACTTCTCATCAGGGCAAGGAGGACTCAGCCTACACTATTCCACAGGCCTGGAGGGCCTCCACCCCTGGCCAAGTTCAACTGTATTTTGGTAAAAGGAGAAATTACACAATTTAAAGGATCACAGGGTCTTTTTAAACCAGGAGGTAGCAATCATGCAGGCTGTGAGTGACTCAGTAGAAGGCATATAATATGCATGACTGGCAGCCCTAGAAGGTGTGGTGGGGGGGAGTGGGGGGTGGAGAAGCAAGGACAGGGGTACAGAGCAGTCCTGCCCACAGGTGAGCTGTGCCACTTCACTTGTAATCTATCTTTGGATAGGCTGCCAAGAGATTGAGAAACAAAGATTTCCCAATCTGCCCAATACCATGCAAGATGGTCAGGTCCATATCTCTGCATTTGGGGGAAATTTAGTTAGGAATTATTTATAAGGTCTTACTCAGTATCTGTAGAGCAGGGAGCAGCAAACTTTTTCTGTAAAGGTCTGATGGTGACTGTTTTAAACTTTGCTTGCTATATAGTGTGGGACTAACAATAAATGAATGAGCATGGCTGTGTCCTAATAAAACCTTCTTTACAAAAACTAGCTGCACAACAGATTTGACCCTTAGGCTATAGGCTTCCCCTATTCTAGAGGAAGACTTTTCCACTTCTTGTTTTTCCTCATCTCTTTTGTTCTCCTCAAATCCTTGCAATTGAAACAACTGGATAATCAAGGGAAGAATATAAGTGAGGGAAAAGAATGAGATGGAGAGATCTGAAGAGTTACCTTCATGGAATATCTATGAGCAACCTTCTCTCACACATATAAACACACCACACAGCTTACTTTGGCCTCCCTAAGCCCTGTGAAGACCGAAGCATTGTAGCTTGGGCACTTACCCTATGTTGATGAACTAAATGACTGGAAGTACATCAGTCATTTTTGTAAGGCTTGAAATGCCTTGGATATAGTTGGGAAACAAAGAATTTAGTGAACCAAAGGGTTATGGATGAAGAGAAAGGCTAGATGCAGTTAAGGTTCTGTTTCCTCCTGAATTCTCCAGTATTTACAATCCATTTTAAAGAACCAAAAAAGAATTATATGGCCAATATATACAGAAGGTCTAAAGAAGCTGTGTGTTCGCTTCCTTGCAGAAATTTCTTTTGTTTAAAATAAATACAAGAAACACAGAAAATACTCCAATCTGTTCTTTTATACAATTCCTGGGTAACAATGCTTTTAGAGTCACTCTCAAGATATTGATCGCATGTCAGGTAATGCCAAATTATATTTGTTAGGTACTTTAGTAAGACACTTTCATTAGCTCTTTGTGTTAATCTGAAATTCCACCTAGAGAACAGCTTTATATTTGCCCTTCCCAGCTTTAACCTCATCTCTGCTGAGGTTAACCTCATCATTTTCCATGAATGTTTTCTATATTAAAACAGTAAAAAAACGCTTTATTCTCCAATGCCATAATCAGTTCCACATATTTACTTACTTTGGTTTGGGACTGCAGAACTGATATGCTGAGAATCCTAGAAAGAAAAATGAAAATCTCTAGTTAATAAAATATTAAGGTTTGTCAATCCAAGGTTGTGCCACTGCTGAATCTGATCAATGCTGATAAATCTAATTTTTACATAAAATGGGTTTTCTGTCTTCTGCTGTTCCCTAGAGTTCATATTTCCTTCCAAAGTATAATGTTTTACCTTAAAATCAATAATGAATTATATTTTTTAAGAAAAAAATTATCATTAAAAAATATGTTTAGTATCTAACATGGGAAATTCTGGTTTGGGTAGATTAAAATCTCAATGACATCATGGAAAGGAATAGTGATAATATGTCAACAATATGCATGTATACCAGGCTGGAATGAACACAGATCTGAGGTGACATTTCTATATTCTGAAGGTTATCCAAAAGTACAAAAACCAAAACCAAAAAAAAAGGGCAATGTTTTTAATATATTGTTCACAAATACTTCAACAGAATCTTGTAAGTCGGCAATTTACCTTGCTATTAAAACCACCACAAATGTAGCTGATCACATTAAACTTTTAAGCAATGCAGGAGGTGTGACAAGTGTAAAAGTGTGTCTGTCTGTACCTAAATTCTGAAGCAGGAAACAGACATGCCACCTCACTTTTCCCTCTGTACCTCTGTTGTTCCCCCTAAGGAAAAGACTCTTAAAAAAAAAAAAGAATTTATTATAAAGTCTTGATTACTTTCATACTCTACAAAATCCTACACACACGTAAGACGTTCTTATTGACATAACTGAAGAGTCACGAAGCATTTGAAAGCATTAGGAAGCACTTTAGGAGCTAAATTAATTGCAATGTTAACCTATTCTCTAAAGAGTTCAATAAATAGTACTTGATTAACCCAGCGCACAGCAACACTTCAGACCGTGTCACTGGTGTGGGTGCAGTGCCTGCTAGACCCGTAAGGAATTACCTTTGTGGGAAAAGGAAATTTGGAGGGCTCAGCTGTACTAGGCGTGTGTATTGCTGTCAAAGGAGGAGGCCATGAGTGGGTCATTTCCTGGAAAGAGATTTGGAATGGGAAGAAAAAGTAAATTATAAATAGAACATTTATTGCTACTTAAGTCAACTTTTTAAATGGAATGCACAGTGGAGTGATGGTAAATGGAAAGTAAAATCTTAAAAGTTATTTCAGTGACTTAAAAAAAAAAATTCCTACTTGGTGGGCTCTGTTCAAAAGCTGAAGCTCTCCAACAAACAAAACTAAAAAGAGATCAGTTTGAAGAAGGAAAACAAGAGCATAGAACATGAATGGTCTGAACATTCTGAACAGCATGAAGCATAAAAAACGGTAGTAGGTGTTACCGGCTTATGTAACTACGAACACTCAGTCCTGTCTCAATGCTTTCTTTCTCCCTTAGCGTCTTTATTGCATTTCCTGGAATTATTTAAGTTCAAAGGAAGAAGAACTTTCCTGTTTGACTTAAGCAAACAAGTAATTCAGGTCACTTGTTCCACTTGGGAGAGTTTTAATGGATTTGACCCTTCTCTGGTACACATTATTAGGACATAAGAACTTTTGCAGAGAAGGCGTTAAAAAGCGACTGGCCCTTTCCATTAACAGAAGTTTCATTTCTATTCACTGTTTACATGCAAGCAAGATTTGTTTTACAAATTAATATGTTTCTCTTGACATGAGTCCTGTTTTTCTAAGCTCCTTCACTTGCTAAAAAACCAGTGGCTAAAAAACTAGAGGCGTGGGGTGGGGTAGGTGGGCTTAAGGAGGGAGGGGACATATGTACACCTACGGCTGATTCACGCTGTTGTATGGCGGACACTAACACAACACTGTAAAGTAATTATCCCCCAATTAAAAATAACTTTTTAAAAAATGAGAAACAAAATGTTAGATGAAAGGTGTCTAATTGCAAATATGCACACACAACACATATGCATGCACACACTCTGTTCAAGAGCTCAAACAGCCACTGGATATTATCACCAGACCTTCCCTTTCACAGCTGAGAAAAACGAGGTCTAAAATGTCAGGGGCAGGTCCCCGAGGAAGCTGAGCGCTGAGAGTGCAGGGAACGGCCCCTCCGCGGCCGTTCTAAGAGAAAGAAGCCCATCCCCACATGGGCCAGACCTGCCGGGAAAACTGGCTGAAGGTCTGGCAGGCAACCCTCCAGGAGTAGGCTGGGGCCCCCAGATGACGCCGTGTTACCTCACCTGTAAAAGGCACTGTGCTTTTACCCCAGTGCTGACCAACCTCTCCATCTCCCCTAGAAATGCCATCTGATGCTTGTGAGACCTGGAGATGGAGCTGGAGGCAAAGTATCCCCATGGCCCACCTCCACCCACATCCTCCCCACTAGTCCCTGCAGCTGCCCAGGACAGACATAAAGCACCTGGCACAGTGACAAGCAAAGTAACCGATGCTGGCCTCAGGAATTTTTGTTAAAGGTGATATCATGCCCTCGCTCACTTGACTAACCATTGTTCAGTACAAAAGAGGAAATCTAAACGAAAATAGAATGGAAAGAGTAACAGCTTTGGAGCCAAAGTCTCAGAATGGATCTTAACTCTGCTGCTCAGGTTAGCCTGAGGGGTTTGCATGCTCCAAGCCTCAGTTCCCAGGAATAGGCAGGCGAAGACCAGTTCTTTTTCCAAAGTATAAAGTGCTGGAGGGACTTCCCTGGTGGTCCACTCTCTGAGCTTTCATGGAGCTCTGCTTACTGTTATGTGGCAATCTGGATGGGTGGGAAGTTTGGGGGAGAATGGATCCATGTATGTGTATGGCTGTGTCCCTTTGCTGTCCAACTAAAACTACCACAACATTGATAATTGGCTATATCCCAACACTAAACAAAAAGTTTTTTTCTTTTTTAATGTACCATAAAAAGAAAAGGAAGACTCTGCTTTCACAGTAGGGGACACAGGTTTGATCTCTGGTTGGGAAACTAAGATCCCACAAGCTATGTGGCCAAAGACGAAGAAGAAAACCATAAACCAAAGAAACAAAAATAAAGTGTTGGAATATATGATCAGAGAAAGCAATTAAAAGCACTACATCTTTTAATTAAAAGCCTAGATTTTAAAGAACTTCAATACTGCACCAAAGAGCTTCCTGCTGTTTTATTTATCTGACTATACTTGAAGGTGTGGGACCATAAAAACAATAGTCATGATGTAAGAACATGTAATAAGTGAGGCGTCTGAAAGTACCACCCTTCGGTCTTCCAAGAATTTCTTTAGAATCCCAACAGTGTCTATGCCTTTTAGTCACCAGTGATTCCCAAGAAACATCCATTGTCCTCTCACTGCCTAAGGCTGCTCCCAACTATTAAATTAGGCAGTTGGAAAAGTGTGTAAACTCTTTCAGGCCTTAAGTGGTTTGCTGGGAGTGTGAAAAGAATTTATATACTTCCCTAAACGCTGAGCTTACGAGAAGTTAGGCCTTAGGAGGATTGGGGCCATAGGAGAGGAGGCTGCCCAGAATCGCCGGGCCCTGAATTAACCCGCTGCTTCACCAATGGCTTATCACGCGAATGGGAGCAAGTCATGGAGCACCTGCTTCGCTCCCGACCTTCCAGGTGCCATTGCTCCTATCTCCCCCCACCCTCCACCCTGCTCATTTTGCTCCAGACTCACCACTCCTCTTCTAATACGCCGACCTGCCCTCACCTCAAGGCTTCTGCCCTCTTTCCTCTGCTTTCTCGTCCATTCACTTGCCCGCTCTAAGACTCTCAGTGCTTACCAACAGCTGACACTTACATATTTACCTTCTCCCACCATGATCTTCATGAGAGGAAGGGATTCCTATTCCTATGGCATTGATTCTAGTGCTGAGAAAAGTATGTGTGTCTTCACAGATACTTGCTGAATAAATGAATGAGTGAACAAATCATGGTGCTACCACTCACTGGACCAGTGTCCCTGGAATGCTGCACTGAGATAATGTAAAAAAAAACAACAACACTGCAGAAACTTCCCCAAAAGGCTCTCCAGGCTGTGGCACTGGAAGTGGAAAACCTGAGCCGTTTCACATGCCCACTGAGGGCACCATCCCCGTCTGGACCCTTGCTGATAACCAATCCCCGGTTTCTGGTAGAGTCTGTCTATTTTCTCACCCTGCCAGTCTGCTTGAGTCATAGGCTACCACTCACTGCCCCTTTAGTAAAAGACTTCCACTCTTAGTATTTCCACCGGAGAACCAAACAATATCGGGGACTAGTTACTGTTTCTATCACCCAGGAAGATCTTTGTTAGGATTCCTGGCAGTCTTTGTGTAAATTACTGGTAGGAGATAAGAACAGGAACCACAAGGCAAAGGGAAGTTATCTGGATGGACAACAAAGAGGGAGAGCTGCATTTGACCCTGGAGTCATCTACTATCTACGCCTGGGGCTGTCACCTTACTCAGGAGGAAACTCAAGTCCAGTGACCTAGTGGAGGCCCATCCATGCCCCTCTTCAATCAGCATAACCTGCAATTTACTTTCTCTATTATGATCGCCAAATGAATACACTCATCCGTGGCTTGCATTAACCATCTACTTTCAAGGATTTCCAGGTAAGCAAGAACCCATTAATGTGATGTTGGCAGAGAGGCAAGGGAAGATGGACAAGTTTATTAAATTAAAATTGCTCACCTGATGGTCTAATACCATCACCTTACATAAAAGACTTGACAAGTCACATAGCGCATCAAAACACAAGAGAAGCATCTGACACATGCAGGAGACGAATAATCACTATTGTTGCATTTACTTTTGAAACAACCATGGAACAAATCATACACAATTTCAGAGAAAATGCTAAGGTCATATTTGACAACTAAGACATGTATTACTTTTATGACTCATCTTACCAAAGAATTTCAAAAATACCAGAGGGAAAGGATAGAACAAAAGCCCAATCAAGAGTACTTATTAGTACTTATTTGCTGATTGGCAAAAAAATTCTCATTTTCAGCCAGTACAAAGTATGTTTCCTTAGAGGTATTTCTTAGAAAATTCTAACTACAAAAGTAGGGGACCAAAGACAGTAAAACAAAACTAATGGAACTGTCTCCCAAACATTTGGTTAGATACCACATTTGTCAAAAGTTGTACAAATGAGAAGGTAACCAATACACTTAATTACTGGTTTCAGCACCAACTCACTTAATACTTTACAATGAAAAATTAAGCCGAAAATAACTGGGTAAACATATATTTTGAGGGAAAAAAGTATACAGTAGAGATAAAAATTAATAGGTACAAGTGTGACTTTTCTTCTACTTAAAAAAGAAACCAACCAAAATTCAGAAACATTATAGTAAAAGATAAAGTGAGAGTATCACTAAAAGTTACAAGGAAGAAAATTAAAAGCTAGAGAGGAGGAATGAGAAATAAACAAACAAAACTCTCAGTTATTACAGCTACTGAACTTGAGCATTAAATTTAGCTCTAAATTTCCTGGAAGTTAAAGCCAAAATGGGAAACATAACAGTTTGCATAATTCCCTGATAAAAAGAAAGCATGCTGGTTCATGAGAATTTTTTTTTCCCCTGGAGCTGAATTCTAGAAGGAATTTGTCATCCGTGTGCAAGGAAAACTGAACAAATGGATAATGGCTTCAATGATGTATTTGTAGAGGCAGCACAAATGTTCCCAGCATGGTCTCAATCAACAAGAGCAAAAAATAACCCTTTCAAGGGAGGTCTAAAGATGTCCATATATTTTCTGTTTTTCTTTTTATCCCTTTAAAAAATTCATGGTCTCATTGCAGATGGGCCCGCACCAATGATGTGTCTCCCATAAAACACCAAGGGGTGAAAATCAAGCACTCCTTCACCCGGGGTGCCTCCCACTGCAGCAACACAGTGAGTCTCTTCTCTGCGGGGTTAGGGGGGTAAGGGGTGGGAGTGTTGGTGACTGATTCCCTTGAGTTTTTTATCAGAAAAGCCTGAGGGAGGGGTCCAAAAACTCTGGTCCAAATGTCTTGAAGTTTGTAGAGTTCATTTCAATTAAAATCCGTCAGAGAGTCTGATGGTTTCCTAAGCCTCCCTTTGTTATTATTCTGGTTAATTTGCTTTGGGAGGTATGATAGGGAGGAGGTGAACTGTTTAAAGGAGTTCAGAATATCAACTGTTCATTCAAGTCAAAGAAAATGAATATATGTCTGCCTACTTAAGTGTGTCTTCAAGCGAGGAATAATTATCAATCATCTCACCTTCAGAATCTCTTCAACACAGTGGACTTCATTGGAGAAGGTCTGCTGTAAGGGAAAAGCAAGAAAAAGATTAGCAAACAAAGCAAAGATTAGCACACAAACAAAAATAACTAGAGTGTTGGTATTAGTGGATGCTATTAGTACTTATAGCAACACTTCTTGTAAGGAGAATCACCCCAGGGCCCCCCTTTTATTACTACTAATAGCTAAGTATGAGAAACTTCACATTCTAGATGAGATAAAACCAGAGATAAACCTGACCTAATTGTGAAAAAAAGGGTTCTGCTGGAGACAATGACAGATGAATTGTGACCCGCAGGTCAAGAGCTTCTGATGGAACATGTGTATATTAAAGAAAACGAGTACATTAGTGAATCTAGGGGAATAATAGATATAACAAGAGTGGAGGCAGAAAGGGAAAACCTGTAATTTTCCTGCTTCGCAGCAACATGTCCACTGAGCCACATTACATGAACACAAAGATGGCGATCATCCTGAATGTCTTACTGAGCCCACAGTAAGGAAGTCAGACTCCAATCAAGCACAGATTTTACAATGAGAGTCTAACTTGCCAAAAATAAGTCTTAAAGTTGAATGCTAAGAGTCAGACACGACTGAGCGACTTTACTTTCACTTTTCATTTTCACACATTGGAGAAGGAAATGGCAACCCACTCCAGTGTTCTTGCCTGGAGAATCCCAGGGACAGGGGAGCCTGGTGGGCTGCCGTCTATGGGATCACAAAGAGTCGGACATGACTGAAGTGACTTAGCAGCAGCCCTACTTGAAGTCAGCATTTCCATCTGTAGACACACACACACACACACACACAAAATATTGCCCCAGAGACAGACCCTAAGGAGAGAGATTACCTAGCTTCTTAGAGCAAAGACCCTCTTGCTTACTCCTGGGTAAACAAATGACAGCTGCTGTTGCTAGTATGTCACAACCACGGTGTTTAGGAAATGTCACTTTCCAATCTTTATAAAGTGCAAAGACAATGGAAAAGTAAAATCTTTTAAAAAGAAAAAAAAAAAAAACTCTTTATCCTTAACTAGAGATATGGAACAAATTCCCCAACTTCATGGTTTTCAAATGGAGTAGCAACTTTCTATGTCAACCGGAGTCAAGTGCCCTGGGCAAACCCTCCTATACAACCCCCCCCCCCGCACCCCCCCCAACAATACACACGCTTTTCCTGCCCCTGTGGTGCAGAAAGTGCTGCTGGTCCCTGTCAGCTGGTCCAACGTTTGCCTCACAGCCTGAGTGTAGATGGAAAAGGGTTCTTCTCAGGGCTCTCGTTTCTCGTTCGAGTGTAATTTAATATGGCACTGGTCACTAATTCCTGATCTGGGGTTTATTAATCCACCATTTTCCTCATTCCTATTTCCTTAAGGAAAAGGAAAAGTGCATACAGCATTCACACTGTCCTGGAATTGAATCTAGTGGACACGTCAAATTTCAAATGCAGTTTGACCTGCCTGGGTCTGGTTTTAAAACATGTAAATTTCACAGAGCCATTTTTATTCAAACATTTGCAATTTGCTATTTTCGAGGTAGGGGTCTGAAAGTTAGGAGATAAGTCAGGGTCAGGCCCAACTGGACCTGCCCTTAGGCACTGTGCATGTTAACAAGGGGACTTGCTTATTCAGTATTCATTTTTCAAAACTATTAAGGAATGTCTAAAAACTGGACCAAATATTACAGCACAAACGTCAGAAACAAATGAATGCTGTTGTGACCTGAGGGTAAAACATGCAATTATATCCTATGGTTCCAATTTTTCACATGTGTCATTAGGAACAATAACAATTAGGAATTGAAGTGAAATCAACAGAACAAAGCAGACGACTACTGACTCTGGTTAAATAGTTGCCGCCATCCTTTCTGCCGCTGGAATGAGAATTCAATTAAAATATCTGGCAGGACTTTGCTGGCAGTCCAGTGGTTAAGAATCCGCCTGAAAATGCAGGGAACACGGGCTCGATCTCTGCTCTGGGAATATCCCACATGCTGTGGGGCAACTGAGTCCATGCACCACAACTACTGAGTCCTCTCGTCCTAGAGCCCATGCTCTGCACCAAGAGAACCCTGGGCATCACAACTAGAGAGGTGCCCCTGCTCACTGGGGTTAGAGAAACTGGAGAAAGTCCACTCACAGCAACAAAGACCGAGCGCATCCAAAAATAAGAAAGGAAAATAAATAAAATATCCGGCGATCAGAGGGGAGGCAGCTGGTGGAAGGATGGAGTGGGAGGTTGGAGTTAGCAGGTGCAAACTATTATATACAGAATGGATAAGCAACAAGGTCCTACTATATAGCAGAGAGAACTATATCCTATGATGAACCATAAGGGAAAAGAATATTAAAAAAGAAAACATATGTGTATGTGTGTGTGTTTGTGTGTGTGTGTGTGTATATATATATATATAACTAAGTCACTTTGCCATACAGCAGAAATTAACACAACACTGTAAGTCGACTATATTTCAATTTTTAAAATATTGGTAAAAAAATCTGGCAATCAATGAAATAGTGAAGCACAGTTGGAATGAGGGCAGAAAACACTTGCCCACTGCTTTGAACAGAATGGGATCAGGAAGCAGCCATGTCAGGAGACTAAAAGACTTTCTGATCTTTGTAATATTACTCAAGCCATCAACTCTTACCCAAGATGTTTGATGTCACTAAAATATCTGTTTTTCCTTACAAATTTTATTACGTGAGACGAGCCAGAATTGAAGAAATTTTTTCTATATTGTTTATTGCTATCAGAGTAAGATAAATAGTGCTAAACTAGAGTACAGTAGGTATTTCAGCTGTGCTTGCAAAGAAAGACCTATACGGACAGGCTGCCTTGTTTTTAAAAAGTAGAACTTGGCACCTCCAAGTCTGCCACTGGAAGGAGACTTTCCAAAAAGGGAGGAGTGCTTCAACAAAGCATTATGGCTTAATCCCCTTCCTTGAAATCCACTTTGCCCACAGCATATCCAGCTGAGTCCTGCCACCCCTGTTCAGAGAATCCGGGCTCTCCCTTTAACACTGGGGCCAAAGAATAAACAAGCAACCTCTCTGAAGCAGGGCCAAGTTCAGACTGGACATCTTTAGGTAAGATTTCCTCAAAGAACAAGAGGTGATTAAAAAGCAGCAACAACAAAAATCAATGCTAACTGCATGAATGCAGAAGCTCTAGTCTGTGGGTTCTTCCCTGTCTACTTTTCCTTCTGGGGCAGGAACACTGGCGTTAGCACTTACACCGCAAATCACACAGCAGTCTCCCACCCTCAATACCTAGGTTCCTAGAGGAGACCAGGAGAAGGCAATGGCACCCCACTCCAGTCCTCTTGCCTAGAAAATCCCAGGGACGGAGGAGCCTGGTAGGCTGCGGTCTGTGGGGTCGCTAAGAGTCGGACACGACTGAGCGACTTCACTTTCACTTTTCATTTTCATGCACTGGAGAAAGAAATGGTGACTCACTCCAGTGTTCTTGCCTGGAGGATCCCAGGGATGGGGAAGCCTGGTGGGCTGCCATCTATGGGGTTGCACAGGTCGGACACGACTGAAGCGACTTATCAGCAGCAGCAGAGGAGACCAACTTAGCTACTCTATACTGTGTGTTTGCGTGTGTGTTAAGTTGCTTCAGTTGGGTCTGACTCTCTGTGATTCTATGGACTGTAGCCTGCCAGGTTCCTCTGTCCACGGGATTCTCCAGGCAAGAATACTGGAGTGGGTTGCCATGCCCTCCTCCATGGGATCTTCCTGATCCAGGGGTAGAACCTGGGTCTATTAAGTCTCCCCACTCCGGCAGGTAGGTTATTTACCACTAGCACCACATGGAAAGCCCTCACACATCTGGGGGTCCTGTATATAGACAGACCTCCCAGTGGAGCCCTCACTTTCCCAGGGAGTATGGCCTTAACATAGGAACCAAAATCCTACTCAACTTAAAAAACAGTAGGTACTTAATGAATACACACTGTACTTGTTACTGCATTAAACTCACATTATTTCATAACATGTTATAGAAATACGGAAAAACCCAAACGAACTTTTTGGCCAACCCAATATTATTTCCTCCATTTGATACCATCTGTTACAAGGTGCACCATCATTAGCTTGGCAGGGGAAAAAGTTAAGACACGAAATGTACTCATCAACTGTAGATACACCCCTCATTACAGATGCTGAAAAATGAAATAAAAATCTGAGGGAATTCTGTATGATACTCTTAATTCTCACATCAATCTTGTGGTATTGCCCCACTTATAAAAATGAACACTAAATTCTAAAGAAACTAACTTACATGTCCAGGGTTACACAGTGCACTCAAGTGACTGAGCCCACCTTTCTAATATTGCTATACGACTGTCCCCAAAACATCAACTTCAGGCCAGACACAAATATACTAGTATTTAAGGAGAGGGGTATAATATCCCAGTTGTCGTATGCAAAACCAAAACCATTTTTCAAAGAGTATCGTTTCCCTTGGGCTTGTGCAAAGAAGTGGGTAATCAGCCTTAACTGCTTCTTACTACTGTGGGTACTTTAGACCAGCAAAAGCAGCGATGCTGGCCTCGGTCTGATTTCTCACTCTTCCTGGAATGACATTGTGTAATCCTAAGGACATGCACTGATACCAAAATAAAAGATGTCAGTAAATGTCCCCTAAGCATGACACAGTTTGTTTTAATAAGCTAAAAAGAGGCAGATGGAAGAAATATACCTCACCGCTGAGACCACGGGGCTCTGGCAATATTGTGTTTTAAGTCTCTCAAGTTTCAACAGAGCAGCACTTTTTTAAACAATGCTGTTCTCAAAAAAGGCTTAGTTATCACTAACCAGAACTGCAGGGAGCACAGAGGCAGCATGCTGATGAAGGCGGCCAAGAGATCTTGGATCCTAGTTCTGGCTCCGCTGAGGATCAGGTCTTGCGATGCTGGCTAAGGTTCAACTTCTCTGGAACTATCTCCTCGTGGCAATGAAGGGATAATATTACCAATCCTAACCACTTCGCAGGGTTGGTATGAAGGTCAAATGTGAAACTT